CTCCCAGTATGGACAGCGCAGGCTGGGCAGGCACAAGTGACCGAGAAGATGCTGGCGCTGAACGTCCCTCTGCTTGTGTGGATATTTGGCTGCATGTGTTCTCTAGGTAAGGCCACTACCTCCCACTGCAGAGGGGAGGGGGGGATTTTAGAAAGAGGGATTTTAGCTCCTGTTTAGGAGAAATGTCCGGCTTCTCAGGGGTGCCCAGTCCCCAGCAGATCCAACTGAAAAGCTGAGAATTTGCTTATGTGCTTACACTGGGAGATCAGCGTGTTAGAAATCGGGGCATGTTCACTCCGCTGAAGTTTGTTTCAGAGGGTTCACATTAAAAGAAACTCCTGTCTTGTGATAACGAAGGGGCTGTGTATGTGGCATGGAGGGGCTTGGGGGTTTTTAAGTAATTGATGCGTGCTGCGGCAGAGACATAGAATGACTAGAGCTACTGTGTTTTGAAATGGGCAAGGTATTATTGTCCTGCAAAGCATTTTGCCTCTGGACTGATTCCCTAATCATTTCTCATAGCTGTTAATAGAGATGATGTACAGCTGCAGACAAGACACTGACATTAGAACATGATTTACCATCTTTATCCAAAGAAAGTCCTGTCAGCAGATAGAGATTAGTTAATAGTTCAGCTTTTCACTACACGTTCACACATGCTGCTTGATGTGAGGCGGGGCAAGTGTTAATTCCATAGCCAGAGATTCGTGTTTTCGAATCTGGCCTGTGGCGTCCCCCTTTGTTCTAGGCACGCTGGGTGTGCGTGGTATCGGCCGAGCGGGGAATAGCCCTGTTTCTGTATTCCATGCCGGCAGAAGGGGCTGCAAAGTTACTCGCTGCTGTTTCTAGAACAGATGACTGCAAAGACAATACCTAGTCCTGCATGTCGGGCTGGAAGGTTTGGATTGTAGGATTAAGTCCTAGGAAGAGTTGCCTAGAGGTAGAGGCCTGGCGATGGGGGAATAACAGGATTTGCAGAAAGCAGAGAATAAATCTGTGCTTGTCAAAGAATAACACTCTGGACTCTTCAGTTGCTACCTGCTCCGTTAGTTCCTAGGAGCAAGTGCCTAGGCATTTGCAATGGTATCCAAACAGTGACTGGCCCAATTCGTCCCAAAGTAGCACCGCTGACTTCAGTGGAGGAAGGCATTTTGCCCACTCGGGAACGAGAGAGGGATTTTAACAGACTCGGATGGGCTCCTTAGGATGCTAGGAAGCTTTTTAGCAGTTGTGGACAATTGGTCTCTCGGTAACAATGGCAGTTACGGCTCAGAATTCTCTCTTGGGACCTGACAGACCTGCCACGTCATCCGGCTCCAGTCTGGCCTTTAAACTCAAATCCAGCTGCCTCTTTACTCCTCTCCAGCAGGCTTGTACTACCCCCCTTGGACGTATCCACCACATCAACCGCTGTTGTGGGGAGGCAATCTTGCCTAATGGGTAGGGCCCTGGATTGTCAGAACAACTGGGTTCTAGTCCTGCGACCTTAGGCACTTGTGTGTTTCCTTTGCCATCCAACTTGTACGCTCGTTTTAGGGGCTCATTTACAGCTTGTGGTCCGCGGGAGACCATTTAACATGCTGGCGTATTTTGTCTCGTTAGCGTGGCGCTGACATGGCAGTCCAGGATGTCGCAATTCTGGCTTGTCTGTTTTGCTTCAGAGCAAATTCCTATGCTGCACCTTATTTTGGTGCCCTAGCGTAGCACCGACAGGCAGAACCGAACCAGGGACCTCTGGAGCCTGGTGCATAAGCCGCTACTGACAAAGCTCAGAGCCAGCTGGCGCTTGGCTAAGGCCAGGGAGCGGACTTGTTCTCTGTCTGTAAGTGGCTCAGTGCCACTCTCTGGGCCAGCGCACCACACCCAGGAGGCGTGTGGGTTACACGAGCAGCTGGGGCTGTCGGAGGCGTAGCGCAGAGGGCAGGGGGAAAACTGCGGTGCCGCCTGTCGCACATCATTTTCCGGGGGTAGCTGGGGTCTGGTTTTGGAACAGCGATCCCGCGGAAGAGCTGTGTGGGCCGGGCAGGCTGGGAATGCCCTGGGCTCAGCGTGTCCCGAGATACAGAACTACCGTCCTGGGGGACGTGGAAGAAGAGCAGGGAAAATCTCTTCGCCGTGGCACGTGGTTGATGGTGGCCAGTGCTCCCAAGGAAAAACAGAGTCTCCCCTCCCTCCATTGCATGGGCCCTTGCAAAGTGGGCTGGGCCGCCTGCGAGCAATCTGGTGCTGGCTAAGGAAGTAGCGGGGGGGAGGGGAGGAGCTGCAGTGCCTACGAGTAGGGGTGTGGCTCCCCTTCTCGCGATTCCTGCTCATTCTCACTGCGCGAGGGTGGGGATAAGCCCAGCTGAGGCACAGCGCAGCCATGCCAAGTAGGTGCCCCCCAGGTTCAGCATCTTGGCACTTGGCCCGGTGATGGGCTGCCCGGGATCTCGCTGGCCAGGCTGGTTTTTAATGGATTTGTCAGTTACCCCAAAAAAATCATTGACTGGCCTTCGGAGCACAGGGCGCCGAGACGGCGCCTGCCCTCTGCTGTGTTCCCACTTCCCAGTGTTACGTGAGAACAGATCAGCCCCGTGCACAAGGTGGCAGTTCCCTGCCCGCCAACATGCCAGGGCACTAGGCAGGCGTGTGAGTGGGTCTGAGTCGCCCAAGAGCAGGAAGCACCCAACGCTCTCCATCTTCTTGGTACGTGTGCGCTCTAGAGGTGGCTGATGGAGCACCGGGGCTCCTGGAGTTGCCCTGTGGTCGTGGCTGGGTTGGCACCAATTTTGTTGCCTTTCAAAGGTGGTCACTCTAGCAACTCTGCTGCTAGTCATATCCAGCGCCGACAGCTTGTGCAAGTAAGTGTGCAATCGCACAAGGGGAGTCACAGCCGTGCTCACAGTGCACACGTGGCTCTGGTCCTGAGCTCACTGCACTGCCAAGGGGAAACAGAGTCAGATCCCAGGTCTTGCTCCACAAAGCTGCTGCTGAGCCTTTTCCACCTGCCTCTCTGCGTTATTCCCTGGCCACCCTCATGACCCACAGGCCTTGAACCCAGGTCCCCAGGAGCAACCACGCTGCAACCCTCCGCCTAGCAACTGCTCACACAGGGTTTGAGGCTCCACCCCTGATGCCCCATTGGCAGAGTCCCAGAGCAGCTGATTGGACCGCTGGCTCTACTTAAGCTAGCAACAGACAGAGGAGGCTGGGATTCAGCGTGGTTTGCACTGCATAACATGGGGCTCCTGCTCCCCCCACTTGACTTCCCGGCCCCCTGACCTAGCCTGGCTCCAGACCTCTGACTTATGGCTCTGATCTCTGCTTTGTTTCCAGTCTCTGACCCCCAGTATCCCAGCTCAGTTCGAGTCTAGTTACTGACTTCTGGTTCTGCTATCCAGTCCCTGGCTTCTGACCTCCTGGTATCCTGAACCCTCCTGCGAACTCCAGCTCCAACCACTCTGTCTGCCTGCCCACAGGACAGCCACCCCTTTTGCCAACCCAGCAAGACCTGTGCTCCTTGGCCAAAAAAGCCCAGCCAGTCTGGAGGAGGAGGAAGGGGGCGGGTGCATACCAGGAGGGTCCCAGGAGAGCCATATGCCAAAAGGGCTTGCTCACGATGCAGAACTTCCTGAGCTAGCCTAGCTGTGTTACATGCTCCACGTTCCTCTGAGGGGCCGAGGGGGCTTCTGCGAACAGTTAGCGATGACCAGGGGGCCATGCGTCCCGGCATCGTGAGTCAGCAACAGGTGCCCTTAGGGGAAATGGTGCCAGTAGGTGAACACCAGGACGTCTCGGCTTCCAACGTGGATCTTTGCTGGAGCCCTGAGCCGGGAGAGGGGCCGGGCTCTGTCCACCGTAAGCAAGTGGCCTCGCTGCCGACACTCAGACTCGGGTGACCCAACCGCTAAGAATTACTGGCTTCAAACCATGCAAGAGCCTGGCTGGGACAAGCTTAGCGCACCTGCTGCTGGCTTGGTGAGATGAACCGGCCCCCCTTTGGGTCCCTGGGCAGAGGCTGCCAGCTATCCCATGCTGGCTGTGCTTTGAGGGCACTTCTGGAGAAAGTACGGTGCTGACAAAGGGGTTAAATCCAGCCTCCTGGCTGAGCACCACAGGCCTGTGACACTGTTCATGGTCAAGGATGATGTGGGGCAGGAGGGTGTATTTGCACCGAAGATGTAGGAAATGGGTTCTTTGGGGATTAGAGCCAGCCGCTGCATGGAGTGCCGGGCCGTCCTGGCCCATGTAGCAGAGAAGAAAGAGGCACGTTCCAATGTCACCGCAAGAATTCCCTGCCAAGCTTGCTCCAAGTCTGGCAGTGTGCAGGCTGGGAGGCTGGTCCAGGCCCATCTTGGCAAGAAACAAGCGTGGTTTGCAGAGATCTGGGCAGAATTCCCTGTAAGCCAGGCGCGTGGGCGGCCACTCAGGAGAGAGTCAAATACCACCCAGCTGATTAGCAGAGCGCACACAACTAGGTTTATGTTTCTACCAGTGGTGCACATTTGCACAAGCCTTGGTGCACATTGAACAAAATTATTCTGCACATGGGTGGAAAAGATTAGAGGGAACATTGGACTAGATTAGAGGGAACTCTACCATTGCACGTGAATCACAGAGGTGGACTGGGGCACGCCACAGGCTGCTGGGGGGTGTCATCGAGAGGCGCAAAGGTCCTCTGGTGACAGGAGACATTTTACATCACTGCCTTGGAGGTCTGTGCCTAAAGCTAGCAGCTGTGACTTGCAGGCCCCATAACCAGACTAGTTAGCCACACTCCTGTCAGGGGTGGACAGACCCATTCTACCCCGGGCACTAAGGGGTTAACGGGCAGGAGCGCCTTGTCCTCAGCTGGGCTGATTGCAGGGCCAGCCACAGCCCAGGGGCTAATTGCAGGGCCAGCCGCAGCCCAGGGGCTAAGAGGCTGCAGCTCAGTGGAGGGGGAGGCTGCCAGAGACCCAGGGCACAGAGAGGCGCGGCCCTTGGCAGCAGCCTGGCAGGAAGTCGGATCCCCATGGAGGGAGAATCCGAGACTGTGAGTCTGCAAAGGGCCTATGCGATGGGTTGTGGGTCCCTGGGCTGGAAGCCACAGGAGAGTGTGGGGCAGAGGCTAGGCTCCCCTGCCAG